CACTACTACTACTACTACTACTACTACTACTACTACTACTACTACTACTACTACTACTACGACAACTACTACTACTACTACTACTACTAATAATACCATTACGTCTACTACTACTACTACTACTACTACTACTACTACTACTACTACTACTACTACTACGACAACTACGACTCCTACTACTACTACTACTACTACTACTACTACTGCTACTACGACCACTACTACTAATAATAATAACACCAATGCTAATACTACGACGGTCTCGTCTTCCTGTGTCCCGTTCCAACTCCGACTCTTCTCCCCATATGTTCCCTTCCGCTACGGGGAACGCGGAACAGGACTGGGACGGGAGAAGTAGGGGCGAGAAGGGGAGAGGCTGAAGGAGGACAAGGACGAGGACGAGGACAAGGACGATGTGGACTGGGGAGGAGGGAGGAGGGTGAGAGGAAAAATTACCCTGGCGACGTACCCAATGGGGCATGAATAGCTTGGGAGACGTTATACGGAGGTGATGACGTGGCATGGGCGCATATACTTCTGCGAGCGGCATTCGTGAGGCTCGCAGCCCCCCAAGGATTGCGATGCCCCGCTCAGATATGCCTGGTGCCTCGCTCCGCTGGACCCACCAGCAGCCCTCGAAAGTGGCGACAGCTTCGCAGATCGCAGCCCCTCAGGGACGGCGAGGTCCCGCTCAGATCTGAAGGGGTGCCTCACTCCGCTGGACCCACCAGCAGCCCTCGAAAGTTGCGACAAATTCGCAGATCGCAGCCCCCCAAGGACGGCGAGGTACCGCTCAGATCCGCGCGGTGCCTCACTCCGCAGGACCCGCCAACAGCCCTCGAAAGTGGCGAAAGTTTCGCAGATCGCAGCCCCCATCGTCGGCGAAGAGAGGGCAGGAGGAGGCGGGAGGCGGGAGGAGGAGGAGGAGGAGGGACGCGACCAGTGTGCTCTATTCAAAACGAATGCCCAAGCAAGGAGGGTTGGGGAAAAAAGGACGACGGGGGACGAGAAGCAGGGGAAGGAAGACAGTGATAATAAGGAGGAGACATGAATAAGGAGAGATGACGACGACCAGAACGACGCAGAGGGAGAAGGAAGAGGAGGGAGGAACCCCAATCAACACACGTGCTACTCGGGCCCTGCTGGATGCCAGCAGGGGGAAACGTAACAGTCGAGCAAGAGGTGACGCATGGCTTGAGCTGCATCCAGGCCGTGCCTGGACGTGGCCGAAGCCTGCAAAATTGTCTGGGAGCCCCTGGACACCTGGCGCGGCCCCGAACAACTCGGGGTAGCTCAAAGGAGGCATCGAGCTCCCACGCTCCTGCCTCGCCGCTGTGCGGACCGTGCCTGCGGCACCCGTCGGAGACGTGAACTTGCGTCAGCTGTCGCTGCTCGGCGGTTCAGAGATGGGGCCCAAGGATGGGGCCCGAAGGACGAGAACCTCAAACAGTGAAGGTTTCATTTGGGATCCACTTCCCATCACCCGAAGACACTACTGATCTGAACAAAAACGTTGTGCGTTCATTGGTAACTTGCCTTCAATGCAGGATGGAAAAAAACTGTTGTGAGATTTTGATCGTGTGATCGTGGGTTCGCAGGAGGGCGCCCCCCAGCTCGCAGTTTGTCGATCGGCGTGCAGGACAGCAAGTCTCAAATGGCACCCCTGAAGCGCTGAACATTCAACAGGTCCACGCCAACGATGCTTGCGCACGCCCACCTCTGAGCGCGTCGATCACGCGGACGAGGAGTTGCACAGCAAGTGCTCAGGTTCACTTCGACAAAACGTCAGGCGAACAATGGAACTAGCAAAAGATATGTCACACAAACTGGTGATAAGAACCAAGGCTTCAGCGTCGACCAACTAAGACCAATACTGCAGCAACAGATGGGGGCAACGATCTCGAAGCGCACCTACGACAGGCGACAATGACATGCCAACGAGTGCACGCGTTGCAAATAATACGTACATGTTCCGAAATCAAGCGCCCGACCCTTACCGGATGCAACATACAGTTTGGTTCGCCTTGAATCTGCCCAGGGCGTTGTTTTAGCGTTCTCAGCTCGGCGTCTTGGAAATCATTGTTTAGCGCTTTCAGGTCTCAACAAAAAGCTGAAAACGCTGAAAAAAGATGCACTGTTTTAGCGTTTTCAGGCGTTTGTTTAGCGTGCTCAGCCTGAAAGCGCCCCCCAAAAAAACAAAAAACGACAACGGCCCTTAACAACGCTAGAAAGAAGTAGCGTTTTGTTAGCTGCTTCAGCCTGTCAAGAGCCCAAAGGAGAAAACGCTGAAAAAAACTCCCAGGAGGTTTTTAAGGCGAACACAGACATAAAGACATCAAGTGCTCTATATCCGTCGACCCACGACTGCCAGGGATGAGATGCGCGTGAGATTATTGGTTGTTCCCCACCCCCATAGCCCCCCAGAGGTCCAGAATCCCGTTTGAGAGAAGGGCGTGGGGCGTTAATCAACCACGCACATTCCAAAGTATCCCAGCGGGCCCCGAAGATCTCCCAAGATGGCCAAAGTTTGCTATTGGATTCCCCCACAAATCGAAAGAGAGAGCCCGGGAGACCTCAAGAAGCAACCAGAGGCTCCAAGATGGTTCCGCGGAGGGCCCCCGAAAAGGCCCATCACGACAGCGAAAGGGCCTCGAGAAGGGCACGAAAGCTCAGGCCCGAAATGCCCAAGATGGCCTCAAGGATGGATCAAAATTCAGCTCCGCGACGGCCCCAAAAAGCCTCCATTGCAAAACCGTACTCTGGGGACGGGCGGAATGGCGTAAGCCTATTGAATCCAATGAGAAACGTTGTAGAAAAGAAGCGAAATACACAATCCGTCCTTCTCCGTCAGGAAATCCACTTCCTCCGCCACAGCATCCATATCCTGCAGAGACGGGTTCTGCTTGTTTTCCCGCCGTCATTGACAGCCTTTACACTGGGCCTCGAGACTGCCACCCTGTCCACCCCTACGGCCCCCACACAGGCCCCAAGAGCACAAGACATGCCAAAACTGCCCAAAGACGACCCCAGAACGGCACGACCGTTTCAAACGGCACCCGGACAGCTCAAGTACGGCCCTACCGAACGGCCCCCCGAGACCTGATCAAGACCGTACCCAGACCCCCATACGCCCACCCCAGGCCCATAAGACGACCCCTGGAGGCCACAGAGAGGCTTCCGATCGGCCTCCATTAAGGTCTCAAGGCAGCCCAAAGACAGCCCCAGACATGCTGAAGAGAGCCCCAAACTGGACCCAGACAGGGCCAAGCAGTGCCAAGGCGGACAGATGTGCATGCCAAAAGAGGCTGAACCAATCGAGAACAATCCTGACACACCCCAGCAAGCGTAACGCTGGAGATTCTCGCACATACTGACGAAGCCCATCGGGTGATCTCCCATAACAAATTACACGCAGGGCCCAAGGAACCTGGTCGGCCAAGGCATGCTATCCTGACCGACGAACTCCGGCAACCCTGCGGCAGATCAAGCCTTGACGACGCGGGCCCAGGTACTCAACACCGCGTGAACCGCTCACTGGAACGATCTCCGCAAGCGGCGGCACTCAGAGGCTGTCGGTGGCTCTCGAGCCGTCGCTCGTATGGGCTTCGCGCCGCGGTCCGCTACACGCGAGAGTGACCCTGGGCAAGAGCGGTCCGTGGTGCGCGGCCTGCCGATCGCTACATGCGGTGCGACAATGGCGGCGCGCGTTCTTGGATGTGGCCCCCAACCCCCCCCGCTGCGGGCCCTAAGAGTGAACACATCACCTCAGTTCCCCCACCCTGCTCTACCCCCCTCTTCCTCTCCTGTCCTGGGAGAGGGAGAGGGAGAGGGCGGCGGCGGCGGCGGCGGCGGCGGCGGCGGCGGCGGCGGCGGCGGCGGCGGCGGCGGCGGCGGCGGCGGTGGTGGTGGTGGTGGTGGTGGTGGTGGTGGTGGTGGTGGTGGTGGTGGTGGTGGTGGTGGTGGTGATAATGGTGGTGGTGGCGGTGGTGGTTGTGTATATCTTTGAGCCCCGTACTCGCGCCCCCGAGAGCCGAGGCGGGCCCCTAAAGGGCGCGGAGGCAGCGCAGCACCTGCCGCGCCCGCCGCCGGCAACGCCACGGCCAGGGCACTCCTGTAGGGCACTTTGGAGGGAGCGGCCAGCGACGTCGCCGTGGGCGCTCGGCCGAAAGGCGAGGCGCCAGAGCGAAGGCCTGCCCTCGGGCGGAAGCGCGCGCCGCTCATCCGCATCGGGCCGCGCGGCTTCGGGCTGCTCGCCGCGGGAGGCACGGAGCGCGCCCGGCGTCGCGCTCCCGCTGCGCCCACGGCAAAATCGGTGAGCAGAGAATTGGCACATCGGGTCCGATCCAGATGTGCATCGGACCAGGCTGCGTCGGCACGGAACCGAAATCGACGCGAATCGGAATATCAGAACCGAATCGGATCGGGCTGGCCATCATCGAATTCGAATCGGATCGATCGGGTCGAAGTGGACCCTGCAGGG